GCTGTACACACGCGCAGGTGTGGGTAAACGTTAAAAGAATGAACATTGTTAAGCTGTTAATGCATTGAATTTCTTTCTTACCTTCATTATTGGCTGAATTTCAGTACCTGTAATTAATGTGCTTGGAGTGGGTGGATCTCTTTACATTCGCCTGTGCCTTTTCACAGCTAAATTAGGGAACAAGAAAAACTTAAAATTACTATTCTCTGCAAAATGTTTTCCAAGTTTCCTGGGGCCATGGTGGGTTGGGTGGAGAGATCCCAAACAGGGAAAAGCACTACTGGAGATAAATAGATGTTTGAAAAAAAGCTGCTCTCCTGAAACCTTCCAGATGAAAAGTTGCTTGCATTTTGGACTACTTTCCAATTCTTAACTTTGCAATACCTTGTAATAATTAAAGAAAACTCAAATATTCAGGAAGTCCCAAACTCTGGAGCCATCCAGCAGGTCCCCAGTGAGTTTGGTACCTCTCAAATTGGATATAACCTTCTCCCTCTATAATGTTTAGGAGAACTAACATTTGTATCAGCCATTGTGTAGCACGATAAAAGGTTTAAAGTGTATTGCGTTTCTGTGACGATTCACACATTAGCGTTGGCATTATTTGCAGACGGTAGGGAGTCGGTGCTCAAGCGTGAATTGGCTGTGAAAGTAGTAAAGGTAATCTTGCTCGTAAAGGTAATGTTAACTTCAACTATATCCTGCTTAAAACCTGTATCAATTACCATACCTAATAGAATAACTCCCCATTATCCCTCACGCAAAAGTAACAGTATTAATTTTTACAGTGACTGTCTTCGGTAACGCGGCATTTTTTAGTAGCCTGAGCTCAAAAAAGTTTTGAAAGTCAATTAATGGGCCCATGGATTCAGAGCAGATATCCATGACCAGTGTCTGAACAAATGCATGTCCCACTTCACCATGGAATTAATCCCTTGGCATCGTATTTGTCACGTAGAAAATACTCTCAGTGTTTGAAATTGTCGGCTTTTGCGATTGTGCTTGAAGAATATTGCTTCTGCTGGAGTATAGATATGTTTGTTTAGTTTTTCCTGAATATCGTGACATTTTTCATTTAAACAATATCCCAAACCTCCCACAGCTGGTTACTGTTCACTGCGGTGGACTTTGATTCAGGTGCTCAGTGATTGCTGTGGTATGTCATTCCTGGGCACAGAACACATTTGATAGAGGTGTAAATTCACTGGTTATCTTGAAACAAAACTGCTGAGTGTCAGACGCAATCTACATTTGTAAAGTGAATTTTTCATCAGATAAAAAGGGGAAAAAAATACATCCGTGCCTTTGATGTGGCATATGAGGACGTCACTGGAAATTTTCCCACGTTCTTAACGACTTCAGAGGATCAGGCCCCTGCTAAATCAACCGCAACATTAATTTAGAAATTTATATCTTTATAGCCTTAGTTTACTACAATATAAACATCACAAAAGTCCTTAAATCTGGTGAATTAAAGTGCCAAAAGCATAAATCGATAGAGAAGAGTCTGACGCTGGGAACAAAAGCCGGACAGAGGTTGACAGTCACTGAATAAACAATATACTGCAGAGTCTGAGCGGACAGGCACGAGGTGAGTGGTGAAGACACAGCTCTGTTTGTATCGGATGATTTGTTGAATTCTGGAAGAGGGAGATAGTGGTAAAATGTAGAGTCATTGCAGACAGTAGCTGGAGCTGGTCCAAAGACCAGAAGAGTTCTCTGGGTCAGTCAGGGTCACCTGAATGAGCACGGTGACTTGATTACAGAAAATTTAAACACTGTAATTCCAGTTTTGAGGATAAACAAGTAAGCGTCACGTATTTGTCAAGAGACAGCATCCAGCTTCTTCAAAGAGAAGTTGGTAATATTTTAAGCCTTTTAAGTTCTCTTCTGCTTGAGTGACTGGTGGGTAACAGAAAGCTGAAAGCCAACCGGTGGCCAGTTTCATTGAATTCTTAGCTCATTAAAAATCTAGCTCTGAACTCACTAGATGTCTTCGTCGCTTCTTAAGCTGAGTGGTCCAAATCAGATATTTTTGAAAAATATGAACTGAAGTTTCTATTCCTTTTTTCAGTAAATACCCTAGAAAATATTTTTTTTTTAAATGAGACTGAAAAGAAGTATTTCTACCAGACTTGAGTACAAAAGTGGAAGCCAAGTGCAGGCTCTTAAAGACTATTAATTCTTATAGGCAACTGAAAAAAAAAAAAAGTAGCATTTACTGTCTGCTCCAAACCCCTCACTGTAGCCTGGATGTGCACTTAACAGAGCAGTAAGAGACGATTGCAGTTTATTGTGTTTGGGAGAGAGGATACATCCAAAATTCTCATGCAAGCTTTTCAGAGGAGGCTATCAATTATTTTTTGCATCAATAACAAGTTGGTTTTTAAAGAAAAGAATGTTTAATTTGAGAAAAGTACCAAAGTGGATTAAATACAGGCTCAGGAAGGACAGAAAAGAAAAACTGCTTCTAGACAGAGAAGTTCTGAAAAAAAAAAACCCACCCAAAAAAACCCCCAAAAAACCCCTTAACCCATTTCTATTAATTTTGTGGGTTTTTTAAACTAAGAATAGATGTAGTATATCTCCAGTAATGAACCTGGCTGACGGCCTCATTTTGGAGGATGGCAGAGAAAATAAAAAAATATATTCAAAGTGATATGCATAGATTGGATTTGATGCCTCTAGGTTATTACCACATGCTTTGCAAAGATGGCTGGAGTAATAGGCTGGCAACGTAAAACTAGGATCAGGAGCCAAGATTTTTAAATATAACTGGTTTTTTTTTGGGGGGGGGGCAGGGGAAGGGGACTAAGTTTTTTGATGGATAACTTGTACATATTTCTGTTTATCCATCTTCTAAAGATGTTGTGAACTGTAACATATCATCACAAGTCATTACAGTCAGTTTTGGAAACCATGATCAGGAGTTACATCTAATTTGGTCGCGTATTATGGCTGAAATACGGATGACTGGGGCTGGGTGTATTAAGGAGAGATGTTACTCGTGGAAGATCATATTCCTTTCCTGGTGGACACTGTTACCAGAATAGCAAGTGTAGAAAACATCAAAAATTCCTGCAATGGTTTTTCTGTAGTTAAATTTAAAAAAAAAAAAAAGATAGAGGAGTGCTTGCTATTGAGCCGGTCAAGTAAGTGAGGAGCTGGCAACTGGGACCTCCTGCTTTCCTCCCAGCCCTTCATACTGATTTGCTGTGCGGATTTAGATAAATCCTCTAATATTGCATTTGTAGTTTACCCCTCTGTAGAATGCTTGTCTCTGTACCATGGAGGCATGGTGGAAATATACAGTGCTGCTGTCTGTGTGGAGAAATACTTATAATATATTATAGACTGAGCTAAACGTTTGCAATGAAATCCCCAAATACACAAACCCTAGACTTGTTGTGTGCTTGCTGAAAGGTTAGCACCGGGGAAGATCTGGGCAATACCTTTATCAAGTACTGATAAATATTGTAAGTGGCACCAGAGAAGTCACATACAGGTATTTCCACTTTCAGCTGACCTTTTAAACACATCTTGTGTGGCGTGGGAAATAAGCAGGACCATTGCTGGGCGCTGGCACAGCTCTATCTATAAAGAGAAGATTCCCAATGGACCTCAGGAAAGATCAGAAACTGCAGGATCAGCCCTGGAGTTTTGTAGATTCATGTGAGTGTAATTCAAAGAAGAATTTACCTACAGTGTTTTTCAGAAATTAAAAAGTAGTACTTTAATTCTGGTTTAAGAGTTAAAGTTGATTCCTGTGGTTTCTACAGTTCAGAATCCTAATGAGGCTCTTTGCTATGCTAGACGCCCTACAGAGAGAGTATGTCTTCCTGCGGCGGTTGGTATCCCACATCCCTTGATACACAAGTGCACCTTAAAAGAAAAGATCGGGCTCTTGCTTAGTGCTCCTGCTTGGGTTTAAGGAGGCAGTTAGAGAGAATGCTGAGACCAATCTCTGAATCTAGTGAAAAATTGTTCTGGATGGAGACACTGTGTTCACATTTACTGGTGTATGAGGTATGCCCACATTTTCGTTGGATTAATTGCCTTGGATTACCTGGCGCTGCTTCTGAGTAGTTTTAATGGAGTGAAGACCGGATATCATTTTACCTAGACAGAGGTCTTAGAATTTATTGTAACAGAAGTATTAAAACAATTTTATTATAGTGTTTTACCTTAAATGTCTTTTTAGCAATAGCAAAATGTTGGGAGTCTGCAAAGAACCTGTGAAAACCCCCCAGTCCTTGATGTAGCTCCTTATCAGTGCACCTCATTGCCAATAGTCTCAGCATCCTCAGTATAAGTAAACTCAGTCCACTGTCGTGTTTATTATGACACTACATATTTCACATTAAATGTTATTTACTGTAACTCTGCACGGAAACGACTAACAGCGTTATTGGGAACTGTCCTTTGCATGCCTCATGTCAAATACAGATGCAGATCACATTTACGACTCGAAACACACACAATGTAGGTTCATAAATTATATAAGAAACAACACAAAGTAATGAGAGACGTGTCATCTTTAGTTTCTCATTTCAGAGGCAGCAGTATGGCACGGAAGATTTATTTACTATCCCAGCCATTAGCTTTCTTGCAGTCTATCGCTCATCACTTTGCTTTTAAGTTTGCAAATAGGAACAGAGATGTTTTGCAAGAAGGAAGACAGCAAGACAGCAGCTTGGCCCAAGGTGGGGCACGGTACTTGAATTTTGGAGATCTGGGTCTCCACCGACATCAGCCTCTTGGAAAAATCCTGTAGCTTTTGCACGTCTCCCTCTCCTCATCTATAGAAACCTGTCAACACCTTTTTAAAAGCACAAATCGTTGTATGGAAAGCTGGGAATTAGTCGCATCTGGTCTGAAGGGGACACACTGGTCCCCAAGAGCTGGACACAGAAATATTGTGGGCCTGAGTGTTGCCAAAGAGGAGAAGTGCAGAAATGGGGAGCGGGGAGGGAGAAGCTTAATTGGGGACTGGTGGCACCATGGCCATGGCGGCTCTGCAGAAATGCTGGGAAATGTCCACCAATAAAGACGGTGAGAAGGAGGATGGGGGTTTCTATTCAAAACAGCGTGCTGCCAGCTGGAGTGAGAAGAAATTAAAAAGGGAAGGATGCTTTGGATCAGGATAATAACTTTGCCACTCTTTAGGGATTTGAAATAATATCTGCATTGTGTTCAAGTGCAATAGTAGGAGATGAAAAATCCCTTTTCTTTAGCCTAAAATTAAATCGATGTGAAAATGATACCCTCCCAGCTTGGGTGAAATTTGTATTTGGACCAACATTAGCTTTCCCATCTCTGAGATACCCCGTGGGATGTATCCATGAAGCAACAGTATGTTCTCTGGGTGCCAAAGACAAGTGCTAGGGTTAGGGCTAGGGCTAGCGCAGGCACCTGCGGGGCCAGGGGATGGGGGAACACGGCTGGCAGGCATCAGCAGCACCGCACAGACAGATCCACACTGTAGCCTGGAGGTGCTGCCACAGACGATCTTCTTTGGACCAGTATTGTAGGACCTGCGTGTACATCTTAGCCAGACTAAACAGATTCCATCCCTCTAAGACAAGGCAAATACACGTCTGCAGGGAATACTGATAAAACTGCGTGCCACAAGCGTGTTTGGAGGCTAAACTTAGTCCTCAGTTACTGTGAATGTCGGCTTGCATCACCAGTAAACACTGAATGAAATTAGGCTAGAAGGTATTATGGTTAATCATGTTTTATTTTAAATATTTTGTACAAGCGAATTTGAACTGCGGGTTGCATAATAGTCCTGAAAAAGAGGAAAAAAGGCGTGAGGTATTTCCTCTTTTTGAGTTTATTTGAGAAACAATAACCACTTAACGGTTGGGTTACAAGCAGAAAGACATTCTTCAGATTATTGCTTTTCTAGGGCATGGTTCCTCACATGATTCTGTGTGGGCACATCCCTGTGGACAGGCAAAGCCCCAGCAAAGGGAGGTCTGACTACTGCATAGCAATTCATAGAAGCAGAATGTAAGAAGAATCCTTTCAGTGAAACAAGCTTCTTTACAGCCAGTAAAGCGGTTTGCAAAGTTCAGAGAAATCACTGAAATGATTTCCTGGTGGACTCGCTTACCTTTTTATCATATTGTGCCAGATCGTGCACGTTACTGATGAAAAAGTAAAAATTCACAAAAGTTATGCAGGAAAAAAAAATGCTCAAAAATACTGGCTGTGTTTTAAAACCTTGCAATCCTAAAGGTCAGGTTTCAGTTGTTTTTGTCTCTTTTGTAATAGTCTCTAGTATTATTCAATAGAATTTCCCATCTCAAAGGTTGGAAAACCTCAGTAGATGATGTGGATTTGTGCGTGATCAGAATTTCCAATGCGGGTAACTAAGCAGTCAGAGTGACTAAAAGACCGATGCTGTATTGATCATGAAGGTTATAGTTCAGTGACTAGAATAAAGACTACACTGTAGCGCAAAGCATGTACTCAGCAGAAAAATGCATAGACATATACAAAATAGAGATGTTAAAAAACCCTTTAGTTCGTTAAAAGTTTACACATTTGTTAATCTTTTATCAGAGTTGATAGTAATAATTTGAGAGAACTTGATGGGCTGAAAATCCGGAATATTAAAGCTTTCTAGAAAATAATATTCATGTAAAACCTGTAGAGTACTTTTGGAGTATTTGGATGCTTTAAGTAACTGTGTACAAGTTGTTGGATGTCACAATTTCTTGCATTATTAATAAAAGCAGTAGCTTTGCATCTTCCTAGTTCTAATTATTTCTCTAAATATCTCCAGGAAATGGAACCAAAAAATAGCAAGTATTTAAAAATACTGGGTAAGCATCTTTTGGAGACTATGCCTATAAAATGAGTCATGCTTATATTTACAGTTTTATATTGATTTTCAAATCACAAAATAAGTACAAGATTACAAAATGGCCAAATCAAGGCTGTTACGGTGAGGTAAAGATTATGAGTCAGTAGTATCTCACTATACGAGAATCTCCATTAGTATCAGTGGATAACTCTTGTACTTGTTAATTGATGGACTTTTGAAACGAAACTGAAAAATTACGTAAAGATCATGTGATATTTCAGGAAAAGAAACCACAGAAACCTAAGACCATTGCAGCAGCACTGAAGCAGTTTTCAATCAAATAAAGTCACTTCTCAAAATTCACTAATTTTTATATGTGAACTATGTATAAAACCCCCTAACAATTTCATTTATATATACATAACTGTAAGTATATATAAAATATATTGCAATCATTTTGCAGATGTCCTCAGGACTTCAAAACATTTGTAGGTCTTGAAGTCTTCTCCAGAAAGATGAAAATTTTTCAAAAATATTATCTGGTTCATAGTAACCACAGAGACCCAAACTCTGCTCGTTGTCTTCTGGTAAGATTTGTTACTGTTCAATGAAGTCCTTGACTAGGGATTTTGTCTAACTAAAGAAAATACTATGTAGTATTGATTAATTCCTATGTTATTGTCTTTAGGACCAGACTGTGGACTCTCTACCATCCTTAAAGTGCTGTACTTATGGTAGTTTCATTACTTGTTAAATATCATAATAGGAAAGTAAAACCAACTTCTTGTCTTTTTAAGACAGTCCTCCTTTGCATTTCTTTAAACATTTCTCTACATTGGATCACGTTTTACAATATAATTGTAATATGGTCAATATAAGATTGATAACAGTTATTCCATTTTAATTTACAGAGATGTAGCAGACTGTCTTCACTCAAACACCACCGTAACGAGCCGAATTACTTGCATGTTAATTTTCAGAAGATGTGACTTTGATGCAAAGCACTGAACTGTCAGGAGAAAATTCCCAACGTACAGCCTTGGCTTATAAACAGGTATTTGTTACATGGACTGCTCACTACACTTACACCCTTGTATTGTTTAACATTTTTCCTTGGAAATAAGCATGTGTTCAGCTGTGTTCAGCCATAAATAGATATGAGTTAGAAGGAAATCTAGTCCCACACTTGAAAATTATGCTGAGGAAACTGTATGCTTAATCTTCTACTGGTGATGCCTCTCTTAAAATAGTACTAGTATGCAGAAAAAAATGAGCCTTTTCTCCACAGTGTGTTTTACCAGTGTTATCAGCGGTGGAACTAATTGCAGATCTCAGGATTTCAGCAGAGCTCACCTCCACGTCTCCTGATCATTTCTTTTCTTTTGATGGAGACTTCATACATTTTCCAGACTGTGTGAGGTAGAGGCTTACTTTATTATGAACCAAAGGTCAGGAACACGTGAAATTTTCCAACTACATTTTTTCCCAAAGGACACGAATGAATTGTTCATTGTAGCTGCTGAATCAGAAGTGCACAGCAGTTACAATACCAGAGGCCCTTTTTCTTCAATCTTCAGATTGAAATTATTTGGGAATTATTTGTGCTCAAATGATTTTTTTTTCCCTTTTCAGTCTTAAGCAAACGATACCCAAAAGCTCCAGTTTTCGTGTAAGAAAAGCATGCATAGACCATAATGAAAACCAGATTTTTAATTGAAAAAAGGTGTTAACACAAGCTTGAAATGTGACAGGGATGTAGTCTTCAGTTTGGACACATGAATTTCAATGCACTTGTAGGAAATACCTTGGTTTTAGTTATATGTTTTAAAAAGCATATTCTGTATTTAAGTACAAACAGGCATTTTCTTCAGAACTCTTTGAATTTTGTGTGAGTACCACACAACCACTAAACTGAATGGAAATGAGATTCTAAAGCACAAATATCAAATATTTCACTCAGTAAAACAAAAAAAAAGTGAGTGCCTGGGTCAGACTGCAGCAACTTTAAGAGCAAAGTGAAAGAATACTTTCAAATATCTGCAAGACTTATTTGCAGTATTATATGTCCTTTAAACAGGCCTGAGCTTTTGTGCTGCTCCACGTCCTTCAGATCAACCCACAGCAAATCTTTGGACTTGGAAACTCCAAGTTGTCTCCCTGCTGCTGCCAGGGAAGAACGATGGGAAAAAACACGTGAAGTTCATTTCTCCAGAGTTTGAACTCATTGACAAGAACAACCTAAACAAAGCATCCGTGGCCACACAGTCCTGGATTAAGTGCGTATGAAACATCGAACCCCACCAAGAGATTACCACTGTACCAGCTGAAACTACGAGTTGGCCAAGGGGAACACCTGTGTAAAAGAAAAGCAACTAAGATGGGAATTTCTGCGGAAAAGGTTTCTTACTGTCTCCTGGATGTCATTTCACATGAGAAAAAATTGAGGTAGTTTTGTCCCATGACCCCAATGATTCTCCACCTCAGCTGTTGGTAAGTGCAAGGTAAATTCAAGAAATGCATAGGGATCAGACATGCTCCCTCTCCTCTCTGACAGTGCACTTAGCCAGCTTTTACTTTTACTCTTGGAGTAGGATTTATTTTAGAAAACGAGAAAAAAGTGCCTGCGTTAGTCTTCAGACAGGAAAAATTACATGTTAAGAACCAACAGTTCGCTGTCTAAAAATAATTTGCAATTACATAATGCTTTCCACTTTCAGAGCAACATTCACGATAATTAGGCCTTTGAACACCTTTTTTGAGTTTAAATTTAGTTTAGGATTGGTCAGCAAGTTGTTCTGGTTCTTTCTTTATGTGACTAGAATAGTTGGCCTTGGTCAAATTCCTCCTGTCCAAGTACCTACATCGTCGCCTACAACGTCACTAGTTGGCAGTGATCACACAGGCTGAAGGTGGAAACAGCACCCGAATTGTCCCTACATTTTCAAACTGGCCTTCCCAAGGCGGAGTTCAGGCATCTAGTCCCTCTGCTGTGCTTTCTGTCATGTGCAGATGCCAAACCTCAGCCTGCTGGGCTACTGCAAAATAGTAACAATTTTTTTTTGTTTTGTTTTCTTTTTTTCATTAAAGTAGATTCAAGACAAATAATTGAGTATTCAAATGTTTTAAAATGTCATCATTTCTTTTCAGTTGATTTGGGTGTGCAGTTTCCCCGGCAACCGCAGCGTTTTGGGAGGGGTTCCAGCAGGACTGGCTACAAGTGCTCTTTTCTTCACGAACCACGCACGTCGGGGGGTTTCAGCTGCGCAAGCTACCAGTAAATTCAATGTGCTGATTTCACCTCACCCTGAGGAAGACAATTTTTCACTTGCCCCTTTCTCTGTGGAAAGAAGAAAAGGACAAGAAAGCAGGAACAAAAGAAAAAGAAAAGATCCATCAACGTCTCCAGTTCAGGGCCAGGTCACTAAACTTCAGAGCAAGAGCCATGCCTGCAAGTGTGATACTACAAAGTGTGGCTGCTCCCTGGGTGTGCAAAAAGCAGCTTTTGGAAAGCCGTTAGGTACCTGAAAGCTCCAATATAAACAGTGGGAGAGGAAGGTATGAGAAATGTCTGAATCCTTACCTGCAGCAAATAGCAAATCTGAAGACAAGGCTAAGCCCTCTTTGTGCAAGAGGTAGGGACGATGACGGAGAGGAGGTTAGTGACACATCTCATTTAGTCTGGCATCACACCAGAATGTTGCTGACACTGGGTTGTTGCTGTAAAGACTAAGCTGCAGCAGAAAGCCCTTGACTGCAGAAAGGAGTGACAGCAGCTCTGAAAATCAAGAAGCCTTATGCAGTATCAGGAGCACCATGCATGAGTAAGGGCACCATGGACTAGCGACAGCACAGGTGTCAGGAACTACTTACGTTATCACCTTTCCAGGAACAGAGGATATATAAGCACAGATCACCAGAGCGCCTAAAAAATAATCCCATTTGTGATTATATTGCCAGGGCCGGGGGCTTCAGTGTCTGGTTCCTGACTTGCAATCCCGGGTGAAACAAGTGACAAAAAATAAATCAGGAATTACAAGCGAATGAAATAATTTTTCCTCCCGATAGTCTTTTCAAACATCAACCCAGTAAATAACGAGGTCAGATGAAACAGTAAATATTTCCTTGTCCTTTCTTCTGTTTCTTGTTTCACTTTAGAGGAGAAAGATACCTAGCATAATTGACTACTTTTTAAAAGGGTTTTTTTAAGCTCTCTTTCACATTCTGCACAACACAAGTCTTTATTTATCCTCATTGCTTACTTCACCTTATTTCATGGCTGCCCACATCCCTTAGGGGGTTGGCAAGCGTCTCTAAATCTTTCTCCCCGTTGCCTCTAATAGCAAAACCTGTGGATGTACTCAAACCTCTGTAGGTGCGGGGTATGTGTCTGCCTCTTCTTGGGTGAGCAAAGCTACTGTACCTGGCTACATGATTCCCCAAACCCACAAGCTTGGCTTGATAACAACCAAAACCCCCAGACCTTGTGTCTGGGCTTCTGGTCTGTAGAAGCTACAGGTCACCAGCAGATCAAAACACACCTGGTTCCCAGCCAATCAGATTGCACAGTTTGCCTGGGCAGCCAATCAGCATGCACATAAATACCCACCAACGGGACATGCTCTACATGGCCAACAGGTGACCAGGCATGAGATCCTTAAGCTCCAGGTTTCTATTGAACTAAGAAGGTACTAAAGGGGAAGGCACTCAAGCGCTCAGCAGGCTCACATGGGTCATCCAACCCAATGTGTTTCTTGCTGCTGCAGGACCTAGATGTTGATATGCAGCTTTGAGTTCTCTGCACTCCAATACCATCAGACAATATACTGATGACACCTTTTCTTTCAAAAGCCAGTTGATTTTACACTGCTTGTGCAAAACCTGCAGCTTAATCAAAGGTTTAAATGTATAGAGTCTTTTTTTTTTCCCAGCCACCATCCTTTCAGAGCAAGTACAGTGCTGATGACATGTAAGAGTCTTCATTTCCATAAATGTGTGCTTTAAATCTCCTTTATGTTTTTTGAGTTAAAGTTGGGAAGAGGGATATCTGAGGATTTCTATTCAAGGCTTGGTTCAAGGGTTAGGTCTCACTGGCTTACTATCAATTTCAGTGTGAATTGAATGAGTGAAAATGGTTAATGTGTGGTTTTGATAAAGCTGTAAATAGGGTAATTTAGATGGTGATTTACTAATTTTTAATTATTGTGATTTTTTTTTTTTTTTTCAATCATTGTAAAACTTGAAGGGCTTCTAGGATATTTTGGAAGTTCTGCTGGAAACAGATAGCAGTTGAAAGGGAAAAAGTGTATATATAGTCATACATTTCCTGAAAGGAGATTCCTTAAGGAATTCAGGCAACATTCTAGGACCATTTCACAGAAATATGTCTCTTCAGATATTAGCATAATATTTCATTGGTAGTGGCGTAATATCTAGCATAAAAGCAAGCTTTTTGAGTCATGACACAGTTGGAACAAAGGATACTGTAATATCCTCCTCTTTCTACAGGGATTTTGGTGCATATGTTGAAGAGTAATTTATCTAATGGTAGCAAGAGTGTCTCTGCAAGGTTACACCAGTAGTAAAGCTGTTCCTTCTTTGGAGCAAAGTCTTCTGTGAATGTGAGCAATGTATTGTTAAATCTGTAGAGTTAATAAGAGAGCTTGCTGCTCTGTAAATCCTTTCAAACTGAAGGAAAAAGCACCACAAGTAATATTTAAAAGATGAAAATGCAAATAATTTTTCACCTCAGATTTACCTTTTATATACAAAAAGACTGTTTACAGCAGCAAACTTCATTTTCATCGTCTCAAAAGGTGATAATATAACTTTTTATTGCAATTTTCATCACAAGCATTTCCAGAATCTTTTCCACTTAACCTATACTCTGGTCTGTAATGCGGTTTGATGTCTTTCTTGCTTGGGATCAAGTCCTCCCCTTGGCTTGACTGATTCCTCTGTTTCTGCCTTTCAATTCTCTTCATGTCTCCCCTGCCTTTTTCTCTTTCAAGAGCTGTTGTCTACTGCTGATCTTGTGGGATACAAAAGTGTCTGATTCTCCACAGATCGTGACTCTGTCCAGACCCTCCTGTGCACCATGGGGTCACTCAAGTGACAAGATCACTTAGCTGAATGCTAGAACGAGAGCTTTGCTCTCACAGCAGCCATCGAAGAGGAGAGTACTGGCTGGTCCTAGGAGCTTTCTACCCCAAGGCAGAGTCACTAGGATATTTTCCTCCCTGTGTTATTATATTAAGTAATGGCAAGAGCTTGAGTCAAGGAATTCAGTGTTAAAATGATTTGTTATGAAAATAATGTAGTTTGGACTCATGATTTTGCAGTGGTGTTTAAAGGAGAGAAGATTGTATGGGAGAGCGTGTTAGAATGGAAATAAAGTGGCCACAAGGTAATATGCTCGTGCTGTGAGATTTGTCATGTGGAGAGCGTAAACACATCCTAAGAACAAAGCAAAAATACCAATGTATATTAACAGGATAGAGCAATGCGATAATTTATGGTGCTGAGCCTTGTGGTGACAGTGGAATTACAGAACCTCAAATGAGCTGCAAGATACATTAATCTTCTGGTTAAGGAATGATGGTGTTAAGACCTCAAGGTGTAGAGGGAAGGTGTCTTGCACTTGTAAAAATTGTACCTGCTGTTTTTGGAGCTGCTTCTAATAATTTTCCTCTACTGTACCTTGACTGGGTTTTTGTGGTGTTTCTGTACCCGTGATGTCAAGAACTAAACTTCATTGACAGAGAACAGCAGCCCAGCAAATGCTCTGCACCATGTACCTTTCTATTGTTTGCTGCTTCTGCCTCTGAACTTGCTGAGGACTCGAGGAGGGAGAGGCGTACCCACGGAGCTCACAGAGGAAGATCCAATGGGCCAAAACAAAGGATCACATTTTCTAATGTGGCTATCTGAAAGTGGGAAAATGAGTTGTAACCTTCTACTGAACCCACCAGGTCTTCAGCGAGTCGAAAGCAATTCAGTTGAGCAAAGTGAGTCAATGCGTACAGATTTGCACAAGAGGAAGGCTGAGGTTTCTCTGCACTGGGTGTTAATACAACTCCTCCTATAAGTGACTGTAAAAATATCAGCTGTTATTTTTTTAAAAAATAGCTTCTGGCATATGTGTTTAGAGAGAAGAGCTTGAAACCAGTATGATCAGAATCTTTAAGGATTTGTGAGGAATGTGTGTGTAAAGCAGAAGCATTTAAGGGGATTATTTAACATTTCAGGATTTTAGTCCTTCTTGGTAGCAATACAAACATTCCCACTAGGTGCAAGGCTATGGTTTAGAGGTCACTGTGTAGGGAGATGGCATATATAGTTATTCCATAACTTTGCTTTGGAAAATACAGATTTAATTTTAGGATCAGATATTTTATGAGGAAAAGCCAAAACATATGAAGATGTCATCTTACAATTATTCCTGAATCTTCTTCCCTATAAACTCTCTTCCATGGTAACCTTTCATGTTTTTCTTATGCCTTTGTCATTTACTTTTAAATCTCTTTCCATAAATATTAAAATTAATAGCTCATCATTTGTTCCTTTGTCGTAAGTTTGATTGTCTTACAACTATTTTAACAGGCCTTTTTCTCATTTGGGACCGTTCAGTGACTTGTTGCCCCCTCACCCCGAGCAGGGAGGCTGAGGCGCCCTGGAGGCGAGGCCTGCCCCGGAGCCATGCCGGGGCCCCGCCGCTTGTGCAGAAGGGGCCTCACCTGCATCCCTTCCACCATCAACCGCCTCGGGTTTGGGGGTGACGTGCCACGGAGCAGTTTGCCAAGAGGACAGCTTTAAACTGAGAGTGGCGGGGAGGGAGGGAGCAGCTGTCAGCCCTGTGAGGGAATGACAGACCGGGCTGGGTCAGCAAGCCGCGGCCTGGGGGTGCTGTGACAGGACGGGATCACAGAATCAACAAAATGGGCTCTCGCTGTGGAGGGGGGCCCGAAGACTGGAGAATATCAAGTGTCACCCTTATCAACAGAAAGGGCAAGAAGGAAGAAGCAGGGAATTACAGGCTGGTCAGCCTCATCTCCCTCTCTGGGAAGGCAACTGGCCTGCAGTCATGTTTGCGGCTGCCGTTGGTAAATGGGTTAGCAAACAGTGCGATAACCGATACCAGCAAAGGATAAAGCATCGGGTTTGGAGTCAAGCTTCACAATCAAGAACAGCAGATGAAGGAAGCAGAGGGGCTTTAAGGTATGTCATTCCTTCTCTTGCATCCAAGTTACATTTTAAAGCTCTTAGTCAACATGTATTCAGGCAATGTTAAAGGGCACTCAGGAGAGGAAGTGCTGGAGTGTCATTTTCTCATTAAAATTTATTCTTTTCAGTGTAGTTTACAGTGTAGTTGCAGACTTTAAAAACAATATTCCCTGGGGTAGTAACAATAATCATAATATTAAAAATGGCTCTGTATTTTGATATTAACGGAGAAAATACAAATGGCACTATGTTATTTATAAAAGACTCTTTATTAATCACCACACTGAAAAGCACTTGGTTATCTAGGCACCAGCTTTACTCTTCTGGGGCCTGTTGATGGGTCAGTATTGCTTTTACTTTTCTGTGGCTGTGGGGTTTCCACGAGCAGAGGTGCAGGTGGCGTTATACTTCACTTGCCTTGATGTCTGCAGGGTTGATTCTCTGACATTTTTTCCTCACAGCTTGCTCTCACGGCAGCTGTGCAGCGTTTTTTGTCCTTTCTTAAATGTTATCACAGAGATGCCACCAGCATCGCTGGTGGGCTCATCTTTGGCCAATGGTGGGTCCATTTTGGAGCTAGCACTAACTGGCTCTGCCCAACGTGTGGCATCTCATAGAGGATGCTGCTGCAGCCTCCTGGTGCAAACCCCTTGGTATGTAAACCCAATACAAACATGTGAACATGTTTCAATATGACAGTGCAATGCACAGGTATTCTGACACTTTCTTCCTCTGAATAAAAAGAACTAAGTTCTCTGTATTTAAGGCTGTTTTATATGGTTAAATGTGCTTAACCAAATGTAAAATCCAGTAGACGCTGCCAAAGTATATTGATCTGGATGCTGGAGATTAGTTTTAATTAGTTTTATTGCTGGTGCGCTGTTGAACGTTAACGGTACGGTGTTGTTCTTCACACAGGGCTGAGCAGCTGGCTCTGCAGCCAGCACAGCCCCCTTGGCGCAGCACGCCTTGCTCCCCTGTGCCTCACAAAAAAAAGCAATGCTGGGAAAAGCACGAGTTTTACAGAGCTTTTTAAGGCACTGGCTCCACCTACATACTCTCCCTCGTTTCAGTTGTGATTTCGGCACAACCGGTGTACCTCTCCTGGCAGTTTCTTCTGCTTTCACTGAACTGCAGCCCCTGTGAAATCCCATGGGCTTACACGCAAGATCTATTCTTCCATTTTACAAATAAGTAACTTACCCTGTTACCTGTGTCTTGCCTTTCCCATGTATTCCAAGCATGCAATCAGAGCTGATTAGAGGTTTTGTCAAATATATTTTTAACAACTCAACACCCTCATTTATAAAACAGAACATTGTTTGTTCTAATGAAGGAAAGAAAACTTGGGGGGAAAAAAAAGTAAATGAAAGGGGATTTCATTTGTTTTCTGTTTGAGGAATTTCAGTTACATGTAAGAAACTCCATAGTTAATCTCAGGAGAAAATTTTTCTTTGTGTATGAAGCGGTTTGCAGGGAACAAAATACGTTTCTCAGTGATTGCCCACTAGTGTAATAATGAAGTAATCTGCGCTGTGTAAATTATACTGAATTGGAGATTTATGACACGTAGTCCTTAAGGAGTGCCTTATTTAAGCCCCGGGATGGGGGGACATGGTTTAAAACTTGAATCATTTATACATTTTGATAATCTATTAATTTAGTAATGTATTTTATAGAGTTTTCAAAGCTGTTACTTCTGTTTTCCTTATACCAATGGTGGTTCTCTGGTTCTAGATGGGCAAGAGGCAGTTCAGCGGGCTCAACACCACTCTAATCATCCTCTTCTGCTTGATGTTGGTTGTAACCTGTGTCCTTATTGGGCTCTTAGCGTCAGGACAGTCTGGAGTCAAAACGACAGGTAAGTGCTTCCCATTGCTGCTGTAGGACCAGAGCAAAACCCCTGATTGGGAACTGCCCATCTCTGCTTGCTGAGACTATTGTAAATGCCACAGAGCTTCAGGAACAAACCTTTGGCATCCTTTCAATCATCCTTTCTGTTGGATTCAGACTTCTCTAGAACATGGACCTTCAAGAGAAGAGAGAGGAAACAGAAAACGTAAAAAACACAAACATTTCTCTGTTGTCCTTTGCAAAATCAATGTTTTCACTGCTCTTGGTGTTACCTATATATCTTTCCTGTTAACCGAAGGTGAACCATGATCATTCCTTCCTAGAGATAGCATGAATAATGTTATCTGTTTTAACGTAAGAAATAAATACCATGTCTAGGAATTTATAATCAAAAAAACCCCCTTTTATTCCATCCTCCAAAGACTGATTTGTAGTCTGTCTGTTTATTTTATATGATTTCAATACTTCTTAAGATAAAAAAAAGAACACTGAAAAAAAGAAAAAGGATCAGGGAGACAATGTGGGAGCAGATATACCGTGTGGAAAAAACCCTATACCCATAAAAATCTGTATTGTTACATTAGAAATCACTTGTCTTAAAGGGATGTGATACATAGCACCCTTCTTTACACACAGTTCCACTTTGTGTGAGTAATTCCAATTACACATGGGGATTGAAGTAAAAAGCTTAGAGATGAAAATGGCAATAAAATAAAAATAAGTGCTAATACAAAACAAACACATTGGTGTTTTAGTAAAACTGCCCATACAGACTAATATCTGCCTATATCCTCCCTGTTTCTGACACAAGATGAGTACGAGTCTGCCTGAGCAAATAGTAGAAGTGCCTATATTGCAGAAAATGGAAACAGGAGAGTCCGTGTATTTGTGTGCATCTCAGCCTGAGACAAGATTTCTGCACTTCATAGTTCTCATCCCAAACATATACAGTCTTCCAAAATATATATAAAGTGACTTTCAGTGTTGGGAGAAACTGAAAACAATGACAGGATATGCTTTTGTCAGCTGAAGTTGCCAAGAGGTCATCTTAAATTCAGTCTGACAAATCTGGAGCTTATTAATGGAGCTTTACAGTGCTTTTACCTGATGCTCTAATTCAAGCTTCTGTGGAAGAACAGTATTTCAGGGGAAGCAGCACCTGTGAGAGCAGCAGCATAGTACCATTCAAGAAAAAGAAAAGTCCTTCCAATTATAATTTGGCAAGTATTTTAACAAGAAGCAATGCATATTGGGCTGCAGGGCTGACAACATCCTAAGTCAGAACTATATGTTAGTGCTGGAAAATGCTTGAATTAGGCATTAGTTTTTAAAAGCCCAACACTTCTGTTGTTTAAATATGTGCAGATCACTGATCCTAAAACACAAAGATTTGATGTTTCCCATGAACACACGGGATCTTTTGGTGGACCTGCAGCCTCCAGTTTAAACTACAGAGTGGATGTGAAACAGAACCCCTTTGGCATTGTGGTGACCAGAGTGAGCAACGATAGAGTGCTGTAAGTAATGTTGGCGCTTTTTCCGTCTAATACGGATGTCATTGGTTTTCTCTGAAAGCCCCTGTTGCCATACAAGCAACGTATGTCCAAGACACCATACGTGACCTGCCCTCCTGGACATGTAACCTACTTCTCTTCTTTCGACTGATGCATGTTCTGCAAGCACTTTTGTGAGGCCTTTGGAAACGAATTCTGTGCTATGGAGAGCTCTGTCTAAAAGGTTTTAGGTCCGGCTCTGTGTTCACTTCCCCCCAATCCTAGGGAAGTCTTTGCAGCTACTTTCTTTCATCAATGCAAGGAATTATTATTATGTGAAGAGCTCTTCCCAGTCCTTCAAATCGCAAGGGAGCACTCTTCATTGCATCTTTTATCTTATTTGTCGCAATTACGGTGAAGCCCTGAATCACCAAAACCAGGTTGCCCTTTAGCCCTGTGATATCCAAGAATAGCTGGTGCAAGCCACTGATAAGCTGGTCATGTAATGCTGTAAGTAAAATATCTCACAGACTTGTACGCCCAGTGCTTTCATCCCCTTTACGTTCTAAAGAGAAATAAATAAAACAAACCTGCCAACCTAACGGCATGGCTGTAAGACCCATTAGAAGGGGGAAGTGTCAGGATGAACATGCTTTTTAAATCACTCCAAGAATGATTACCTGTCAGAGTGCGAGGCCAGTTGGATTATCAGCACTCCAAGTTTAATTAATTAGCGATTACTTTTGTGCTCTTATTAGTATTGTTGTCTTGCTTAGAATCCTCTGTGATGATTGATTTGCAATTATAGAGAGCACAAAAGACGGACTTGGTATTCAGTAGTGCCTGACTGATTAAACAGGTCCATGGAGGGGGAATAAGAAATCTAGTCCAATAGAACCCTGTTGAAGCGGTGCTCTGGAAGATTGTCTATATTTTCCTCAGGCTTTTGTTTAATTTGATAAAAGTGGCTGCGTTCATTACAGTTCATTACAAAAGTCCTAATTATCCAGGCCCTTATAAAACCTACAACCTTCCATCATCATTTGTTCCATTTGAGCCCTCCAAAAGAATTAGAGTTTTGATTGACCTATTACCATCATCGTTTGCAAGAAAACCTGAAAGATTGCCATAGTTTCATTGGATATACAAACTTCCCCCCTCCTCAAAAAAAACTAGTTTGAATCCAGATTTTGTGCAGATGGGCAAGATAGTCCTTAGAATCATTAAAACTGGACAGAAATACATCAGATAAGGATTTGACCTGTGAAGCCTCTCTCAAGTGTTGGCATTTTTGACTTTTCACAATAAAGAAAAGGTAATATGAGCACATTAAAACTGTAGGAAGCCTAAATTCCCCTGGTTTTGTCACTTGTTCATACAATGTTTGTAATCGCTGATGCACTGTGTACTTATTTAATAGTTTAATGGCCTCTTTATGCGTAAAAAAATTTACTGATAATGACATACTTGCAGTGATAAATGTAGTTATAATGTAGTCATACATCTGAAGTGATAAAGTCCCTGAAAATTACTGTGGCTTTTTCTGCGTGAAGTCAAGACAAAGTTGTGTTACTCTCCTCTATATGAATATCATGACTGGTAAATGTCACAAGTATCATGCAAAAACACAGCTGTAAAAAATGTTTCTAACTAAAACTCCATAAAGTGAGTAGATAAAAGCATATCCCTTTGCCATTGTGTATGATGTTAATGCACACTCAGGTAGTTTGCCATCTCAAAGGAAGTATTTTTCTCTGCTTTTGGGGAAAGACTGAATTTCTGTAAACTCCTGGTTTAAGGAAGCTGAAGATAACCTTCAAATCTGAGGATCAGCTTCATTCCAGTTGCTCTCTGCTTTAAATGTGGTTTAACTCACGTTCTATTTATGATTGTTTTGTATAAAAATTGGGTAAGGGTCAATTTTGATCCATTTGCCAATTTTCCAATTTTACAACGGAAATTTTCCACCTGCCCAATTGCTGTGGGTGGCCAGGGAGAGTGGATTTGGGATTCAGCGCACCAGATGCAGGGTGGGAAGCTTTGGTGGAAGAGGGGAGTGCAAATAGATGGACCTTTTTTAGGAGAGGTTCCTGTAGGATCAATAGGCAGCGCTCATCTCGTTGTCAGTGCAAGAGTTGGTCCCCTCCATCCCCGCACCATTCCGTCTCCTTTTCCTTCACGTCTCTGGATGGAGACCTGAACCTGCTATCCAGCTCTATCTAAAAGGAGTAGAAACAATTACTGCAACAATTCTTAGTGAAATACTTTTTTAAAATGTATTTATTTATTTTAACTTGTGTCTTCAGGTTTGATACTACCATAGGACCACTGCAGTACGCCGACCAGTTTTTACAGCCCTCAATCAAACTGCCGAGCAGCAACATTTATGGTGTGGGAGAGCACATGCACAAGCAGTACCAGCATGATGTTAACTGGAAAACCTGGCCCATGTTCAGCAG